CAGGGGCCCGGGGGTGGTGGTGGGGGATTAGGCACATTCCCAGCGCGGCGGGACGGAGCGGGGGCCGCAGGGCAGTGCAGGGGAGGGAAGGGGAGGGAAGGGGAGGTGCCCGGGGACGGGGCCCCGCGGGCGGGCGCGGGTCCACTCACCTGCGCGGCGGAGCTGCAGCAGCCCATGGCGGCGGCTCCCTCTCCGTGCCCCGGCCGTGCCCGCTAGGCGCCAGGCGGCGGCGAGGGGCAGGCGCTGGGCATCCACCCGCCGCGGCGGCCCGCCCCGGGGCGGCGGCACGGAGCGAGGCGGCGCGCGGGACCGTTGGAAGCCGTTGGGGACCGTTGGGCCCGTCAGGCGCGCGCGGCCCCAGCGCCAGCCCCGCGGCGGAGGGCGGGGCTTCCTGCGGGAGGCGGGGCTTCAGGGGAAGGGCGGGGCTTGCGCGGAGGGGCGGGGCCTGGGGGCACTCCATGCCAGGCGGCTTGCCGCGCTCTCTCCCCTCCCCCCCCGCCACTTCCGCCATGCCCCGCGGGCCGCTTCCGGCTTTGCCGCGTTGCCATGGCAACTGGCCTGGCCGCGGCGCCTCGTCTGTGTTTTTGTTTTGCTGAAAAACGGGCGGTTTTGCTAAAAAACGGGCGGTTCTGGCGGCCGTCGCCTGCGCCGCAGCGCGGGCTCCGTCAGCCTGGCGAGGAAATCTTCTGGCGAAGGTTTCTGGCAGGAAATCACAGCACCGTGCCCTGAGGCCGAGGTGGTCCCTTGGCAGGCGGGAATGAGACAAAATGTGTCTCCAGGATGAAAAAAAAAACGAAAAAAGAGACAAGTTCAACAGGCTCCCCTTAAAACTGAAGTAAAATCGAGCTTGCCTGTGTTAAGAGTCATACTTTTTTTTTTTTTTAAATTCTGCACAGTTCTCAGTGTAATGAGAAATGACAGCTTACAATTCTAGTTTCGTGTTTCCTCGTGCCTGGTTAAAATGTCTTTTCACCATCTGTCATTATCTCTCATTTTTTTTCTGCCTCGCTCTATTGAAATATTTCAAATGATCGTAATCAAAAACATGAGCATCAAAGAGCTGCTTGTTTTATCTGGAAAAGCTCTCGGAAAGACATGCCTCTTGTGATTGGCAAAGGAAAGGATGATAGGAAATTAACCCTGTCCTCGTGTAACTTTGCATGTGTCGCTCGCACTTCCTCTGTGCCTCAGTTCTGCAGTTTCTGAAGGGAGTTCRACCCAGATTTTCCAGGGTTTGTCTCCGCGTTTTCCTCAGCGGCGAGGGGAGTTTTCTCTCCCACCAACGTGATTCAGTCTGCCTGCTAAAGACACCAAAATGAGTTTTTTGAAGCAGCCCCTTGTGCTTCTTTCTAGCGCATCCTCATTGTTGTTGTGATAATTAAAAACGGCCTCCTGCTTCCCATGCACTGGGACACTTTGCCTGTTCCCCATACGAGTAATAACCAAGTGAAACTGCCTTCCAAATTGATCGTGCTCAAAAAAAAACATTATAGCCAATAATCTCCATGCAGCTGCATAGGCRGAATGGTGGGTCTGCAGTATCCCCACTCTTTTATGGCTGGAGGAACCAGTTTTATGGAGAAGCCAGCGGCCGTAGCTTACATAGCCAGAGCTTCGTGCCAGCTTTCCACGGGGAAAGTGATCCTGGAAAAATCCTTTTGGAAAAGGATCCCAAAAAACCTCAGCATTAGAAATAATCACCGGAGTAATTGACCATGTTGTGCTTTTGATGGGGATGCAGAAGTAGCTGCAGCAGGAGATAGCTGGTTGTCCTTAGCTTAATGGGGCTTTGTTTGGACAACCACACAAAGATGGAAGAAAAAATTCTTCCTCGTTTTTGCACTGGCGTTTATATTCGTTATTCAGATCAGTATTTCTGGAAGAAAACGCAAGGTATTGAAATGAGAAGTGCTGAATCCTAATTCAGAAATAAAAGAAGCTCAACTTAAAGCATATGCTTAAGTGTATGTCTTGAATTATGCTTCAGCATTCCATTGTGAACCTGATTATAATGTGCTCGAAGGCACCTTTACAGCACAAGCTGTTACAGCGTAAATCTGACTGCCCTGATTTAGTGTTAATAATAATCCAGCTTTTTTTTTTTTTTTTTTTTTTYTKTAACAGATTTGAGACTGCCCTCCCCTCAGCCAGAAACGAATGAGTTTTATCTGTATTTTCATTTCACTGCTACACCAAAAATGACAGATTTTTTTCAAGCACCATCCGGTACAAAGAAAGGGAGGCAGCAACAGGGAGATGGCCTTAAAATGAAGAAAATGCCTTTAGTACTGAAATAAATAGTAAGCTTCTGCCAAGACTGTTTCCACTCCTGGAGGTGTAGGAGGACTAGGAATAAGATGAGGAAACATTCCAGAAAACATGGTTTACATGGCAAAAATTTTCCTTCTTTTACAGATACAGTATCCTGACATTAGGTACACATACTTAAAAAACGTACAAATTTTCCAAAGTTGCAGAACAACAGATTTTGTTTCAAATTGGTGCGAGAAGTACCTTTAAAATAGCAGTAAATGAAATTCAGACTTTTGGGTGTATTTTCGGGTAGGATTTTCAAGCGAGTTCAGCACTGGGCTGACTGCTCTCTCAAAAGCAGGTCCATATCCAGCCTTGCTGTTACAGAAATGAAATGTTGGGATATGCAGACTATAGATTTGCACCCACAAAGCAGTAARTGTTCCAGCCCATGTGCTGCCCTCCCTCTCCTAATAGACCAGCTCCGCTTACTGAGAGTCTGCTGACTTCTTCCGCCTACCTATACATTTACACCCATGAGTGCTTGGCAGTGCTGTGTATTTTTAGAGACACCCATTCTGCGTGCCTAGGCTCAATGTTTCTGATTTTTCTTTATACCAAAGAAATTCTGATTTCTGTTCAAATATGCAATCACACTTTTTCCTTTCTTTGCAACTCCATTATTTGTCCTGTGAACAAACAGGCTGTCATCCTCCATCCGTTGATAACAGGGCAGGATTTAGCAGTTATTCTGTGCATTTCGGCAAAATAATAATGAAAGTACAGTGCTAGCTGCCATTCCAGAGAAAACACTATAAAAAGGACATAAGACTGTGTTTGTAAGCAAAGTGGAGACAAAGCCCRTTATCTCACTCCATATCCGGTGGCCCCATTACCTTATAAACCCCGGAATCCCCTTGAAATGGAAAGTCTTACAGAACAGTTCGGATATGTTTTTTCCCTCCTTTACTGCTGGGGACCTGTGGCCTGAGCCTTTGTGCAAGGTCACACAGGACACAACTTACAGAGAGGAGAACTGAACTTGCATCTTGTGTGCATCAGTGCCATACAATGAAGAGCACATCAGCTATACGTTTAACTCAGACATTTTCAAAGCATTTGAATCATCCTGCTTTGCAGTTCGAATACAATGAATTTTACTTGACCAAGTGCTTGCTTTACCTGCAAGGAATTTGACCAAGAGAAGTTGCATATTGCTAAGGAAGTCTGAGCTCCCACAAGTTAAAGCCAAGATTGGATTCTTGCTGCCTGCCTGACTGCAGAGGACCAGCTCGGAGCTGTGAAATTACTGGGTTAGTCAGCACAAAGCCTGCTGCAGTTTTCCTCTTTGCTGCAGCCCCACAAACCAGGCAAGCAAAGTTTGTTTCCCTTTGGCAACTGGAGACTCCAAGGACAAATAAAAGAACAGCAGAAAGCTTTGTCAGTCAGTCAGGAAGGTGGAATCTTCCTTCCAAATTATCATTCAGGGCTCAGGTGCATTATGCTCTTGGAGATACTGTCTTTTTGGTGGGATGTACAGTGGAGGTGCTGGCCATTGATGGCTATCAAAAACTTCCAAAGCTCTTAGGAAGAAGAATATTTTTATGAATATTTGTGTGTTGGSAAAAATCTTTGTTAAGCATAGGCTTTCTGTCCACTTTAGGCCATTCATGCTATAGGGAAAGTAAGATGTCTATCCTTCCCGCATTAAAACACAGCATAATGTTGGTTTACACCATTTAAAACCAGTTAGGTTTTATTCCGATTTTCATTACCTGTGCATYGAGATCTGCATAAACAGCTCATTTCCTACAAGCTGAATGATGACCAGACATTTACATTTTTATTATCCGAAGCTAGAATCATGAGAGCAATTTGCTGCTAAAAGGTTTGACCCTTTGAGCAATTCAGTCTTCGGAAAACATTTTTTAAAGTGGTCGGGGCACTCCTGATGCACCGCAGGGTTTCCAGCTGATGTCGTGGCCCCAGACAGCAAAGCGCAATTCGTCTCAGCTTTGTAAGAAGGGCTTTTTCATTTTATTTTTTTCCCCCCAAATAAGGCACTAAAAGCCAAGTGCAATTCTTTCTGTAGAAACAGTGTCATCATAATACATGATTAGCCATAATCATCTTCTGTCATTTTGCTCTGGGAGAATTATGGATCTAGCAGTGGGGATGTAAGACTACAGACGGAGCACTGCTTGCTACAAATCTCTTGCAAAGCTGCTGCAATAAATCTTAGAAGAGTCATTGCATTAAGCAAAAAACTATGCTGAAGGGACCTTTCATTTGTTTTCTTAGGGAAGAGGAGCTGTGAGGAGACATACTGTTCCGCTCTTCACTCCTTAGCATCATGCAAGGACACATTCATCAGAGAAAATACAGCTTATTCTCCGAGGAAGGTGACAGAGAAAGCAAGGCTATATTCAACATGTTGTGTGACTGTGGCTTTCCATATAGCGCTTTGTAGGTGAGCGAAAGAGTGAAGACATTATTCTACCGAGGGTGACTCAAGCTGTGATGGATTTTACAGTTTAATAATGTCTAAAAGGCTGTTGCAAGCCTGGCACAGGTCCAGGCTATTAGCTGATGAGAGCATCTACAGTGGACACGAAATTGGCATTCAGCTCAGGTGCAGGCTTAAGGTGGAACAGGGTGCTTGGTCACCAATAAAAACCCTCATAGTTCACATACTCTGGGTTAATAGTAACTGCTGAAGCTCAAAACACTCTYAGATATCCAATGAATGACCCGTTGCGTTACTGCTTTGAAAATCTGAGGGTGAATTTTATCAGTAAGGTAGATGGAAACCTGGAACTGTCAGAAAATGCAACATAACTGGTTTCATAATTTAGCTAGCACTATATACATACAGTTCATGCAGCTGGCATTGGCAGGTCATGGGAATAGGTAGGAAGGCTTT